CTGCACTCCAGTCTGGATGACAGAGTGAGACTCCAACTCAAAAAAAAAAAAAAAAATTTAAATCACTCTAAACTAGTAATGATTTTTTTAAAAGAACAAAAAAAATTTTTTTTTTTAGTTGGAGTCTGTCACCCAGGCTGAAGTGCAGCAGCACACTCACAGCCTCGACTTGCTAGGCTCAGGTGACCCTTCCGCTTTAGCCTTCCAAGTAGCTTAAATTATAGGCATGTGCCACCATACCTGGCAAGGTTTTTAATTTATTGTAGAGATGAGGTCTTGCCAAGTTTTTCATGCTCATCTCGAACCCCTGGACTCAGGCAATCCTGTCACCTCTGCCTCCTAAAGTGTTGAGATTATAGGCGTGAGCCACTGCACCCAGCAAGAACAAAAATTTAAATCACTGTATTGTCCTACCCAAGATGTCCCTGGCAGCTCCTAGATACCACTGAACCTGCACTTACTGTGTGGGAAAATGCATCTTCCTCTAGAGAAACCTGGAGGCTGGACCAGTCTGATCATGCACACAGTGGACAACCTAGCCTTCCAAAAGACCATGTAGAAATGTCCCAGGTATTTGGGACATTTAATGATAATAATGCATATGTTTCCTTTGCTGGAGTACTTCTACATAATTATTGCTTTACCATAATTAGAATGAGAGAAGTTCTGGCCTCTCTTTCTCCAGAAATGGTTAAATCAGGGTACATTACTTAGATTGGGACTGAATTATGCCAGCTTATTGAAACCATCACTTCCTTGGGAAGGCCTTCTGTGACTTCCTTTGCTAGGTTCAAGCTTGTGTTTTGCTCCCTCAGTGCCTGCACAACCAGGAATACTGCCAATCCTATGAAGAATCTTATATAATTCCCAAGATAGACCTACCACCCCCACCTTTACTCTGTAGATCTAATTCTTACTTATCCTTTAAGACCCCTTTTAAAATCTTTTATTTCAAATTCATAGTGATCTTCTGAACTCTAAACCACTTCCTAACCATGCCACTCAGCACTTCTTAGATTTTGCCATGTAAATTATCTCTTTATTTACATATACTGTATATATTTTTGGCTTTCACAACAGACTGCAAGTGCCAGGATGGTGGGAATCATGTGCTATATTTCTTCTAACACCTTCCTAATATACTAAGTAAGTCGTTGATATGTATTTTTTGATAGACTAAGCTTGATACTGTGCCCATCTGCAAGGGTTCAGAGACCTTGGTATGAACACTTCTGAAGATGCCTTGCCTGATCTCCTCTGACTCTAACAACACCATCTTTGGTAAACATGTAGGAGACCCTGTAGACAAATAAGATGAGGGAACAATGTAACTTACCCCCAAGAAGTTCACAGTAGAGAAGAGCAAGAGACACCAGGAAACAAGTAACTGTTGTAATAAGTATTAAAATGATGAATATAGCACATTATACATTAAAAAGGTGAAAACTTAGCCAGCTCTGATTGATGTTAAATGTTCTACCATGCTAAGCAACCAGAAACTTATAATTTCCTCATCCTTTATATCTCCTACAATATTTCAGAATATCTAAGTCTCTAGTCACTTACCCTTGCTGCACAGGCTGTAACTGCAAGATCACTTGGGTTTTAGTGTCTTCGGGGTTCTCCCCCTCATTTCCTTCGGTGGGTACCACAACCACATCCCCCACAGGGACACTCACTTCCGCATTGGCCATCTTTCACATGAAGTCAGATATCTAGGGCTGCTGTCAGGAACAAGAACCACCAGTAACTTCATCTGGTTTGAAAAGATGGCAACCATAGGAAAAGAATGCCAAGATAAGGTCTACCAATTTCCAAGAGCACCCTGGAGATCATAGGTCTCCAAAAAGATGGGAACTTTGAAAGGGGCTGACACAGGCTCTGATCTTTCCAGAAATGCCTCAGCACTTACTTGCTATTATCGGTTTTCTCAGTATGTGTGACTCATCCATGGCATTCTGGAGCCAGTTCTACCAGCTCCTGAGAACGGATTGTGCATATCTTTCCTCAACAATGAAATTAGTGACATCAAGCTGGTAGCTTGAAATCAGTGATGCTGGGAGTATATAGACCACAGAAATTGACAAGCACTACAAAACAAGAGTATTTTGTTTTTCTGGAGAACTGGTTTATGGCACATTACTATTTTTATCCCAAATGGGTAAGCTCTTGGAGAGTAGGAATCATATCTATTTTCTGTGCAACCAGTCATTACACTTCATCAAGTTCTCTGTCCTTTGTAAATACTTAATAAGTATCAGCCGGGCTCGGTGGCTCAGCCTGTAATCCCGCGCCTTAGGAAGCTGAGGTGAGTGGATTGCCTGAGCCTACGGGTTCGAGACCCGCCTGGGCAACTTGGTGAGCCCTCATCTCTACAAAAAATTAGCCAGGCATGGTAGCACACACCTGTAGTTCCAGCTACTTGGAAGGCTGAGGCGGAATGATTGCCAGA